CAAATATGTGAAGATTCAAATCATGAATCGTGATATCAATCATGGTATCAAGACTTCAGTTTCTCACTCACAAAGTAAAGTCAATGTGTATTGTTTTGCATTAAAAGGATTCTGTAATTTGACAGAGAAAATATATTTTGTAGACTTTTTCAGTTATAATTTGTCTTCAGTCTCATTTAGTTAAAAGCTCATGAACCCAGTATCGTGAATTGTATCGATATGTGGAGTTTATATTGTGGCATCCCTAGCTATAATTTATTTATAGAGCACTTTTCAGAGAGACACAGCGAGCTTTAGAGAGTTAGGTAGGTTGAAAGACTGGGATACAAGCAGCAAACAATTATACAACATAGTAAAAGATATAAAATGTGTAACACTCACACTAAAAGAAGTAAGACATGCGTGACTACAGAAGATAGCTACGTAAATGCTATTAGTTTTAAAGAAAAGTCATTAAGAAATAGCCCCTTGCCAAGAGAGGACCAGCCAAAATGACTTCAGCTAGCAAAAATCTCATAAACTCAAACACACATACACACACACACACACAACAGCCCTGCATGACAGCCCTGCTCTATTCTTGTAACCTCAGAGAATGTGCATATTTGGCTTTACCCAAATACTAAATATAAATCAACATACTATTGTCCTTTTTGCATAAGTGGGGAAAATATTTACAACTTAAAACACTTTGCAGTGAGCAAATACATGCACGTACATACACAAACACTGACGAAAGGAGTCAGGCACACAAGTTTAGCCAAAAATGGGACTGTTTGGCTTGGGTACTCACAAAAAAAGAATGATTCCGGTGTTGGACATTGCATAGGCCAATCCCAGAATTCCACTGCCCATAATGGCGTTACTGAGGTTAAAGATGGACATGCCAAATGAAGTCTTTCCCTCGAACTGCAGTAAGAACACAACAGAGGAAAACACAGACAAATCACTTTAGGAACAAAAATCACATCAACAGCATCAATAGTACTGTAGCTCATTTTACTACAGCAAATCCATCTGACTTCTACATTTACTCAACTACAACACACTCACATCTGTAAAGTGGTTTTCTTTTTTGACTCCAGGTTTATGGGGGAGAAACTCCTCATGTTCAGCCAAGGCTTCTAGCCCATCGAACCTACAATGGGAAAGAAAAACATTGGTTCAAATTAAAAAACACACAAACGTGCACAAAGGGAGCTACAAATATACTTTAGCTTTTATATGTGGTGGATATAAAAAATATTATTTTAAATTGAACAACTTTGCTGTGATACGGTGTCAGTAATTACTTTTTAGTAGTTTTTAGTACAGCTCTGAGTCTTACCCATCATCCCTGCTGTGTCCATTCATCTTCTGAAGCTCCATTGTGGTTGCTGGGGTTGTGACTTGAGAAACTTCTTGAGATCAACTTTTGCTGGACTGAAAAAAACCCCCCGGGCATAAAGAGAAAACAAATGTTTAATATATGGTATACTTACTTATCAAAATCTCCTTCAACATTTGGCCATCATTTATGCTTGGATAAGCTTCGGTGTCAGCTGGCATCGTTTTTGCACAACAAACACAACATTTTAACACACCTCATGCACTGAACTTGCCAACTTTCCATTATTTGTGAGGGAAACTGCGAGCAGGCTGACCTCAGCATCTTTAAGGGGTCTATCAGAGTCTTTAAGGCTTTTTACAATGTTTCTGTATGCATCACGTTTTCTGAGATCCTGTCCCAACTTGTTAAAGTTAAATATCTCAGAATGGGTCTTCCATGAAGCTGAAGGAGAATTGTGATACGTAATAATTTTATGAAGTGGATGTAAGGCATTGGCCTTTGTCTACAATACAATAACGGTATAATGTCACAGTGACAGCAATGGTGTTGAAATACCCTCAGCCTTTTCAAGGGTAAACATACCAGTTATTTGTACTTGAACAGAAGGCAGCCTCAATATGACTAATGTAATAAAAGTATAAAATGCTATGTGGCTACAAAAGGGCAGACCTATTTATAAAGTCTTGAGACACACACACCACTGTAATTTTTCTGCTTCCCAAAGACAACAAGAATGTTGCTTTTTTTTCTTTTGGCAATGCTTTACTTTGGAGTTCTGCTCCCTGCTTCAGATATGTGGATAAAAAACTGTGGTAACTGTGGTAGTTCATAAAATAAAATTCCAGCATAAAGGGACACTTTTGCTTGGGATGTACGTCCATTATAAAGCTTGTGTGACATGAAAGGCTTTAAATAACAAATGTTGTCAGAGGACTTATGTTGCTCTAATCTGCTGTGGGCCACACAAAGCTGGCATGGACGGACTCTGGGAATGAGCGTAGGTCTGTGCTCCTGCCATGGGGTCATGAGATCCTTCCCTTGTCTGTGGGTCAGTCTGCCCTAAGGACTTTCACATCTGACCCCCGAGGACACACTCACACTAGATTGTGTCATTCCTTAAGAGTTTCACACGAAACCAAATTTTTTGTATTCCTGAACGCCCAGGCCTGTTGAATTACAATAATTCATACAGATTGGAGGTTGATAGCAATGTGCCACAGAGATAAACAAAGGGTTCCTGTCTAAATGGTGCTATTTAGTCTAAATACAGGCTAGACTTTGCATACTGGCCTCAGGTCAAGTGGTTAGAGTAACTTTCTTTAGCTACATACCCAATGACTTTCCCATGGCCTGTGTCCAATACACACAACCAACAAAGCATAGACTAGATGTCAGGAATAATTTATCATTTAACTTTCACAAAAAGACAGTTTTGATAAATAAAGGACTACCTTCACATTGTGAAAGGCAGATTTTACAAGTGGGCTACTCAGACATTTTCATGTGGAGGAGATAATGAAACTAGACTAACCTGGTTAACTAGAAACGTGTGCCAGTTACGATATTTAATTGGTCACAAGGGCAGCTCTAACACAGTGGAAACAATAAAAAGAGTGGAAAAAGTAATAAAAACAAAAAGTGGTCCTGTGTTTTCCATCTCTTTATACATCCATCTTCCTAAACAACCTACCCCATGTCCTTTACAAGGTGTTGTAATTTAAAAATATATTTAAGTATCACATTCAATAATCTATATAATTATTTTGTAAACGGAGAACACATTTTAGAGTTAAACACAGTAGTATTACTCTAGCCTGACTGTCCAACAGTGCGCAGCACATGGTTTTTGTCTGACGCAAGACCAGTTCTCTATTGACAGCCCTTTCTTTCTCTTCCTTAACATCTAAAACACAAGGAAACACACACACATTTTTCAGCAACTTACCCTTGTGGTCAAGAACAAGGCTAGTTTTCTTTACTGAATATTAACAGAATAAATCCTTTGCGCAAGTTGACTCAGTTTTCTCTTCCAATGTTTATATATAGCTTTGTTCTTAGGAGCCTCTCCAAAGCTCCTTGGTAGTAAAGAGAGGAGAGAGTGAGAGAGATTAGAGGCTGGGAGGGAGTAAGCGGGAAATGGGAACACCCATACTTAACCCTTTGTTAAGCCTTTTACAGGTAGTGTCTACCATTGCAAAGACTGTAGAGACTCACCAGGTGTCTACACTGACAAGGTGTCAACACTGGTGTCTAAACAGAGGGAAAGAATGGCCTGTAGTTTCAGGGACAGTCTGAATTTCAAGGCTAAAAGGTAATCCCAGGAACCCATCCAACCAACAGGGCTTCTGGTGTTCATACGGAAGACTTACCATGTCATTACAGACTATGCAAGTAGAAAGGAGGGGCAAAGTGAGTGTCATCTGAGGGGGGTTTTGTTACACCATGGGCGGATACTCACTGACAGTTTGCATCCTGCTGGAAGTCACAGTGATGGTAATTAGCTTAGGAGATAAGTGCTTTTTTAAGATTGCCCACATGTGATTGTGCTTAAGACTGGAAACATTGTGCACGCTTACAAGTTATTATGCTCCTGATCCAAAACAAACGGTAGGACCTGACCTGACACAGTAGAAATGAATGAGTCATGCAGTGTTACTACTTCATCAAAACTGAAAGGTTGACCTATTCTCAGGGTCTTTCAGTTGGCAGATAAACTTAACTGAGATATGCCTGCACACCCAAGAAACACCCACATTTTCTTTATCTCACTAGGACACAAAGCCTTTACTGGAAAATGTGTCTTTCTGTTGTATAAAGATCTCATCTAGTGCACGTGGACATGATGGTAGATTTTATTTGTACATCTTAAAGAATATTTAGATTCATTTTTAGAAAGCTGTGCATCCTAATAAACGCAAAATAAATAAATATCCAATTCCACATTGCAACAACTATACTCTAAATATTTATGAGCAATTCCAAAAGCGAAAAAAATCAGAATCAATGGTCTGTACGATCTGTGAATCTAAATAATGAAAAGATGAATGGCTTCCTCAGTCACCTTAAATGACCTTAGTGTCCTCAGTTAAAACAAGCAGTTTGGAAAAATCCAGGACAAAGCAACCAACATATTCATTTACAAAATATCTGTGAAATAAAGTTCACCAGGAGACATTTTGTCTTGATAAAACCACACATCCATTTAATGTTATTTTTATACCAAACCCTCATGACAGTTTTTGGAGCCAAGAAGGTCTCCTATTTCAGTGAGTCATTTAAATTCCCACCTCTGTGCTGCGTATACTGCCAGCATGTCACAAAAGGAAAAGAGTAAGAGAGCAAATGAGAGTATGAATATATCATCAGCTGAAACGTTAGAGCACACATCAACTGAAAAGTCTGTCATCCATATTTCTACTGTCAGTATACAGAACATTATCAGTGTGGATAATGTTAAGTTTCTTAGGTATCCCTACACGTGTATGAATGGTAAACTGTGTCGTGGCCCAAACGCTACAGCAGATGGCTTGAACTTGAGTCCCTCTTCTGGTACTCACCTCTCTAGTGTCAGTCAGACAGAGGGATGTCTTCAGTATAGACAGAAGCAGCAGGGTAAACGCTGAAACTTGATGGCTGGTCAACTTCCAAAAAAAAAACAACAGCTTTTTACAGAGTCAGGAAGTTATCTTCAGCTGTGAGAGGAGAAAGCAAAATGGGGAAAGGAGGGAGGTGGTAATAGCGCGCGTAAAGAAATATCCTGCCATGTCACAAGTCTTAACCACTCCCTGTTCCGACTGCTGATTCTCAGGCTACACGTGGTGCTTTCTTACTTTATGAAACACTGTAATCTAACTGTACATATTTGGACACTGGCAGCACTGATTATTATGTTTTACCTCAAGAGCATTTTGGAATATTCCAACAGTGTTTCTAGTCAAATATAAGCCAAAAGCTGAGACTTCTTGTTATTTTTCTCTGCTTCCTGGCCTACATTACAGTAGTCATACTGTGGCTGTGCAGCTGGTAGTGTCAATAAAATGGGTTGCTGTGGAAAGTTTCTGTGAATTTCTTCTCTAAGCTTCTGCTTTGTCTTCAGCTCACAACCACTGCCATCTAGTGGGCACAAAAACTAACAACCCCCCCCCCAATAAATAAATAAAGAACAGCAATCAGTAAATTATACAAATACTGACATCTTTGACCATCAGAACCCATATGATGTAACTCAACCATTCCTACAGATACACAGGCCAGTTTCATATGTTTAATTCACTATCAAGTAATCAGAACAAGTAGGACTGCAACTATCAATTATTGATTATCCTGATGAATACTTTCACAGTTAAGTAAATAATCTTTTAGTCTGTAAAATGTCA